ATAGGAATTGAATAATTTAGAATTTTTTGTTTTAAAATGGATAAGGATAATAATGAATTTATGTATATTTGATAAAGAACTGGTGATATAATGCATAACTCTAAGTATCTATTATAAAGATATCCTGTTGTTGATAAATAATTTTAATAAGGAAGTAATCAAAAATTGGTATATATATGAAGTGAGCATGTAGAATACCTTGTTGAAAAATGAAGGAATAACATCTTTGTTTGAATATATGATGTACAATAATGAACATAAGCAAACTCGATAGATGATTGGTGGGATTATACATAATTGAAAATAGTGATATACAAATATAAATGGTAAAAAAATTATATTGTAGAAATATTAAGAATGGGATAAGTGATTATATAAAGGTATATTGTTATTAAACAGACAATTAAGAATGTAAGGGAATTAGGTTTATTGAAAAAAAAATTAATCACAATTGAATATATGTTGTACAATGAAAGTGGGGTATTTAGTTATATTAGATGGGAAATCTGTGATTGTATATGTAACTGAAAATATGGATGCAAAAACACTTGTAACCAAACAACATGCTGTATGTAATGGATGAGAATTTTTTTATGTTGTTTTTTATGTTTAAAAATAAAAAAATGCCAAAAAATACAATCCATAATTATTTTTAAGAAATAATTGTGATTATTTTGGACTACAGACTTGATGGAGAAATCCTGACTGAATCTTGCAGCAGGCATGTTGCAGAAGTACTCAGCAAAAACCAGAGATTGAGAGAATTAGACTTGAAGATAGAGAACTCAGATGACAAAGCAATGGAACTATTGTGCGATGGGCTCAAACATTCACAATGCACAATAGAGACATTAAGGTAAGTGACTATTTACTTTCAGTTTAATCTGCCTCAAGGTCTTTTGCCTGTTAATATTTTAGAAATATATCTAGAGAGTCAATTCAGTTGCCATACACAATCCTACTCTTCAGTTCCTATTTAAACACATTGCATACATTCAAGAAATAATTTTAATTTTTCATATTTTTTTCTGGTGGGGTTGGAACAGGGGACAGGCGGCAGGGCAGTGGCTTAGGGAAAACTCTGTGAATGTCCTAGAGTGGCCCAACCAGAGATCTGACTTGAACCCTAATGAGCGTCTTTGGAGGGGCCTGAAAATGGCTGTCCATTGGCGGTCATCGTCCAACCTGACTGAACATAAGAGGATTTCAAGGAAGAATGACAGAAAATCCCCCAATCCAGGTGTGCAAAGCTTGTTGCATGATACCCAAAAAGACTCGAGGCTGCAATTGCTGCCAAAGATGCTTCAACAAAGTACTGAGTAGAGAGTCTGGATTCTTATGCCAATGGGATATTTCAGTTTTTTCTGTTTAATAAATTTACAGACATTTCTAAAATGTTGTCTTCTCTTTGTCATTATCCAATATTAAGTGTAGATTAATGAGGAAATAAAAATATAGAATCAGGCTTCAGCATAACAAAATTGACAAAAGTGAAGGGGGTCTGAGTAATTTCTGAATGGGTCTAGGACCTTCAGGCTCCCATCCTTGGCCATGCCTCCTTTGCCTCCAGCCACCCACCTCAGCCCATTCACAGCCAGCTTTCCTCCTCTGTTGCCCTTTCCCAGCGATTCTCCCTGGTCAATGGGCTTCTGGGCTTCCGACTCTTCCTCTTCGGCTCGGCCCATTTGCTGAAGCACCATTTATCCAAGGTGTTTTGCTCCACTGTACAAAACCCTGCCAACCAATGAGTGGCAATAATGGGGCTGGGGCTGGGAAGGGTGGCCAAACGCTGCCTTCATACAGCTCCTAGTGGGGCTGGGAGGGGGAAGGAAGCAAATGCTGCCTATGCATTGCTCCTGGGGGGCTAGGGGGGAAGCAGTGAATCAACAGTAAACATGGCTGATGGTGGTGGTGGTGGGGGGTTAGAATGATGTGTTGCACAATTGGAGGGCAGCTGAACTGCCTGTTCAGGGTTAAGCCAGAGTCCAGATGAGAGTTAGAGCTATCCTTCAAAAGCCCTGATGGCAAAACAATGAAACTATTGTGCGATGAGCTCAATAAACCAGGGTGTACTGTAAAGAATCTAAATTAAGAAATGCATATACCAATGATGGCAAACCTTTTTTGCCTCGGGTGCCAAAAGCACCTGTGCGCGTGCTATCACACGCTCTTGCGTGCCCACCCAAATAATTTAATGCTCCCCCCACCTCTGCAGACTGCATATTTTTGCACAAGGCTTCCCTGCCACTCCCTGCTCTGGCTGCTTCCCCTTGGCTAACACCCAGCGAGGGGAGAAGTTGCTCTGCCGCAAACAGGCAGAGACAGGGGGGAGGGGGTGCTCGAGGGTGCTCCTGCATCAAAAAACCTTCTTTTATCATTCTCCTGTGTAAAGGTTGGGCCCTTTTTAATCCATCCAGTGTGAGCCTAGTTGCTAAATCCCCCACCCTCCCTTATCAAAGAGGATCCTGGGCACTACATTCAATAGGGAAATGTGGAAGGGAGCTGCCGGCACGAGGGAAAGACAAGCAGCAAGGAAAGAAGAAAAGCGACTTTTCCCTGCTGGCATGTTGGCTGCTCTGTTGCCCTTTTCTCCATTTCAGCACCATGCCATGGAGCCTGCCCCACCCACCATCACCCAGGCCCTCACTTCCCCCAAGCATTTCTTTGCTTACCTGATTTCCAGCTCCATCACGTTTCTTGCTGTCGTGTGCAGGGAAACAAAGTTTGTGGAACTAAAAAAAAAAACCTTCAATCAATCAATTCCAACTTTTTTTTTGGGGGGGGGGAGATCTTGCAAAGTTAGAATTGATTGATTGAAGGTTTTTTTTTTAGTCCCACAAACTTGTTTCCCTGCCCAAAATGGCACGAAACATGATAGAAAATGCGATGGAGGGGAAATCAGGTAGGCAAAGAAATGCTTGGGGGAAGCGAGGGCACTGAAATGCAGAAAAGGGCAACAGAGCAGCCACCATGAGGGGGAAAAGCCGCTTATATACTTTTCAGTTTGATCTGCACAACCATTGTTTGATTATTGTTTTTCTGGAAATATATACTGGGTGAGGCCGTTCAATTTCCTTACTTATTCACAGTCCCTGTAAAAATACATTCTATGCTTGTTTTTCAAGAAATAATTGTAATTTTTCATACTCTTCTTTGGAGGATTCATGGAGGGATCCTGACTGAATCCCGCAGCAGGTATTTTGCAGAAGTACTCAGGAAAAACCAGAGATTGAGAGAGTTACACCTGTCCATCACAAAATTTGATGAAAGAACAGTGCAACTATTATGTTGTGGGTTGAAAGATCCAGAATGCACAATAAAGAAGCTAAAGTAAATAATGCATTTTCCTATACAAAATCATGTTCTAAAGGTTAATATTTTGAAAATATATCCAGAGAGAAGCAGTTTAGCTTCCATTGTTTATCATATTCATTTCAGTTCAGGGGTGGGATTCAGCCGGTTCGGACCGGCTTGGGTGAACCGGTTTTTACGATTCTGCACAGCTTGGAAAACCGGCAAATTGCAACACTAGTTGCCCTGCCCACCCTGCCTTATATATATTGCCTTCTCCATGCCACGCCCTTCGCTACAGGTCAGGTAACCAGAGGTAAACATTCCATCCTTTGCCTCAGGTGGGGTCCCAGGAAATGTGCCATTCCTTCGCTCCGGCCTTGCCCCGGGCCTCTGCCCGCATGCTGCCCCACCCCACCCCCGGCCTCAAACTATGGCTGCTAGGGCCGAAGCAATTTATTCAGCCTGCGGCTTGCTGCACTAGGCCAAAAGGCCATGGTGAGGGGGGACATGGGCATAGGAGGGCGAAGCAGTTTGGGAATGGACTAGACGGTTCTTCTTACCTGTAAGAAGTCCCATCTGGAAAGCGCTGCAGTGGAGATCTTGCAACCACTTCTTCCGTCCCTTGCCGAGCCTTGGTCACTGGCGAAGACGCTCTATGTGCTCTCCAAGTCGGCAGCTGCTTCTCTCCACTGCTGCCCTCCTGGAAGGGAGAGCATCTTGTGCAATTTAGCAGCTGTGAGCTGCCACTTTCCTCTAACTCCCATCCAGAAAATGCTGCAGCTGAGATAAACTGCATTTAACATAGCTGCTGCTTCTCTGTCTTTTTTCCGGATGGGACTTAGAGGAAAGCGGCAGCTCACAGCTGCTAAATTGCACAAGATGCTCTCTCAGCAGTTCACAGAGTAGCAGCCGTTGCCCCAGCCCCGAAAGGCTGCTTGGTCGAGCCTTGCTGCGTGGCAGAATCTGCACATGCATGGAAGGTGTGTGTGCATGCACGATCTCTCACATTTTTGGCGAACCAGTTGCTAAATTAGTTGAATCCCATCACTGCTTCAATTTTTAAAAAAATATAATTCATAGTTGTTTTTCCTAAGATAATGTTAATTTTGAGATTCCTGTCTGCAGGTTGTATGGAGAGATCTCAAATGAATCCTGCAGCAGACATCTTGCAGAACTATTCAGGGGACTGAGACAGTTAGAACAGAACTATTCAGCTGAGAAAACAGTGGGACCATTGAATGAAGGGCTCAAGCATCCAGAATGTAAAATAGAGACAGCAGAGTAAGTGGCCATTTTTTTCCTCTTCATTTTCATGTGCCAACCTTCTCTTCAATGTTCATCTTCTGGAAATATATCCAGGATGAGGCAATTCTAAATGCATTGTATGACTTCCTGTTCCTTCAATGGTACAGTTCCTGTTTGTTTTCAAAGATCTAAATACTAAAACTGATTATCTTTCAGTGGGTGGAATAGTTCATTATACAACAATAGGTTTTTTTTAGTAACTTACCTCAAATTGATAACTTACACTTTTTTCCAATAGCTGGGATCCCTTTCTCCTGATGCAATAAAATTTGTTGTTTTTGTTTCATTGCTATTGACATCTGCTCTGTCGCTGCTGCAGTCACATGATCTTCATTTTGAATAGTCCCTGATAGTTTTCCAATCACTCTTGTAATCCCTTCCTCCCTATTGTGGAACAACTTTCCTCCTGAGGTTGTGAATGCTTCTACACTGGAAGCCTTTAAGAAGATGNGGACAGCAGCCCCTTTTAAAGGGATCTGTCAGACCCTTTGACCAATGGGATTAAACCTCTGTTCCTGCCAGAACGGAGGACCTTGGTGGAAACCACTGTCAGTGAGGGGGAATATCTAAAAGAAAGATAATTACAATTGTGATATTTAACCATATCATCTTCTGTTCCTTCTGTTTTCTAAGATAAAATTCTGTCTTGGCACGGAAAAGCATTTCCACGGCCAAGGGAGGTTTTGGCAGCAAAATCGTGTTGCTTTAAGCCTTGGCATGCAAACACATTTTGCACACAGATTGGAAGCTTCTGGGTGCCCTGATCTCATGGGACTTCACACACCCATTCTCTGCAAAAACAAATATGTGCCTGAAGTTGCACGAGATTATCACCCCCTGAAGCTTCCAAGTCTGTGTTTGAAAAGCTTTTGTGCATCTATGGAGCGCTGCTTTTAAAAGGATTGAGGAGGCTTTGCAGATTAGAAAGAAGGCCAATAGGGACATTCACGTCCCCCTCAAAACTCCATTTGTACCACCTAAAAAATCATTTTACAAAATATAATCTGTGAATAATATTTCAATCAAAATTGTAATAAGTGAATATGTGAATTTCTTACAAAACTACAATAAGTCAACATTTATTCCTTTCAGTTTGATGAACAGAAATATTCCAAATTGAGTAATATTTTGAAAATATATCCAAGGAAAAGCAGTTCAGTTGCCATACATACATTCCCTTGAATTCCTATAAAAATATAATCCATAATTATTTTTCAAGAAATAATTGTGATTATTTTGGACTGCAGACTTTCTGGAGAGATCCTGACTGAATCTTGCAGCAGGCATGTTGCAGAAGTACTCAGCAAAAACCAGAGATTGAGAGATTTATACTTGAAGATGCAGAACTCAGATGAGAAAACAATGGAACCCTTGTGTGATGGGCTCAAACATCCACAATGCACAATAGAGACATTAACGTACGTGACTATTTACTTTCAGTTTGATCTGCATCAGTGACTTTCGCCTGTTAATATTTTAGAAATATATCTAGAGAGTCAATTCAGTTGCCATACACAGTCCTATTCTCTTCAGTTCCTATAAAATGCATTGCATACTTGATATCCAAGAAATAATTGTAATTTTTCATATATTTTTTCTGGTGGGGCTGGGAAGGGGGACAGGCGGCAGGACAGTGGCTTAGGGAAAACTCTGTGAATGTCCTAGAGTGGCCCAACCAGAGATCTGACTTGAACCCTAATGAGCGTCTCTGGAGGGACCTGAAATTGGCTGTCCATTGGCGGTCGTCACCCAACCTGACTGAGCATGAGAGGATTTGCAAGGAAGAATGACAGAAAATCCCCCAATCCAGGTGTGCAAAATTTGTTGCATCAAACCCCAAAAGACTTGAGGCTGCAATTGCTGCCAAAGACGCTTCGACAAAGTACTGAATGAAGAGTCTGGATACTTATGCCAATGGGATATTTCAGTTTTTTCTTTTTAATAAATTTACAGATATTTCTAAAAAAAAAAATCTCTTTGTCATTATGTGGTATTCAGTCCCAGAATACAGACAAAACATCTGCTCTGGGGCTAAAAGTTCTTCAAGGCTTGGATTTTAGCAGAGAGTTTTTTCAGTCACCTGCCAGAATCACGAAGATTCTCTATTGTCCAAACAGGATTGGGAACAGGAATCATTTTCAGTGAGTCCTTAGAGATGACAGGGAAGCCACTTGTCTCTGTAGCCTGGATGAAAATCCTCCATGCCAAGTTCTCGTGGTAGACAGAAATGATGTGTGAATCTTCCTGCTGGGTTCTGCATGAACTTTCTGGGGAAGCTGGTGGGAAAAAATGAAATTGGCAATAACAAGATTCTAAGACATTGGACAACTTTTTATAAGTGTTGCCAAGTGCCCAGATCACAATGACATGACTAAGGAGGTGCTTCAATGGCCATAACTGAAGGCATGAGTCATAAGTCTGTTCATTTAGCATCATCATAACATTCAACAATCAGAAGACAAGAATGAATATCCCTGTAATTGTGTAGTTGGTGGTGCTGAATAAATCAAATAGACATTTTCAAATACACACATTTATTTACTGTTTCTCAGTGGACATCATCACTCATATTGTGCAGGATTTATTATTATTTCTTTCCTACCTAAATATTTAACTGAACAACAAACATTTGTGCCAATTTAAGATAATACTTTTACCTTTCTCTTTACCCACGATACGATATTCCAACTAAAGAATTTCATTTTAGAAAATATACCGTATATTCTGCCTTATAA